AGGAATTCTGGGAGTTGAAGTCCACAAGTCTTAAAGTTGCCAAGGTTGGACACCCCTGAACTAGACCATTATATTTTCAATTATTTTCAGATTGCACTTCTTTCTCTCTATGGGATTAATTTAAACAATATCAAGACTTAACAAATTTATGAAGAAATATAAAGTGAACTTTAGAAGGTTTTCCATAAACATTATATTTTTTACCTGTTTATGCCTTAGTTCCATTTTAATTCGTAAGTCTTTGGGTTCCTTTTCCTCTCTGACGCCTTTAGTTTTAAGGTCTTCCAGTATACCACTGTTTACAATTTCACTTTGCAATAGATGCTGTAAAAAATCTTGTACCATGGTGCCTTCCACTTCTTGCTCCAAATAACCATAGAAATCTAGAATACATAAATCATACTGACATTGAATGTAAAATGGTATTTTTAAACTTTCTTTCCTGAATCAGGAGTTGCAGCTTGCAGTCCCCAAGGCCCTATTTGTGCTTCCCAGAGTATCCCACAACACCAAAAATGAGCTTAAAATGTTTGTTTTATGAAGGCGTTTATATTTAGAAATGGTGAAACCATAGTGGAAATCATAAGCTCCTGTAAGCTGAAATACACCTTTACATAGATGTAAAGATACATCTATCTTTAAAATCTCTCCAAACACAGACCAATTACACTGAATTTTGAACTCTGAAATTCACTTTCTAAATGCTGAAATTCACACAAAATATCACTTTCCAGTAGCAGGATTTTTAGCTTAAGAATGTTAAAATAAGAGTGGAAAATATATCTACAAAGCCTCTGAAAAATGAATGGCTATTTTTTTTCCTTGATTGTCCTATGGGCAGACAGACTGGATACAAATCAAAGTAATATTTGTTACATTGTTTTCTAAAAAATATTTTAATCTCTCTTTGTAAGATTGCCTATAAGGAATACAAGAAAAGGGAGAAGGGCTCTTCTATGACAGTCCTGTTTTTCTGGAAAAGGATACTTTATTGACTATTTAGATTATTAGATACAATAATGTTTTACTTTCCATTTAATTGTTTTGTGTGAATTTTACCAGTACTTGCTAGTACGTGTATCAGGAATTTTTGCTATTATGGGAATGCTTAAAATAGATTTAAAATCAGTCTCACCATCAAATTTTTTATATTTCTGAAAGCCAGCAACAGGCTCCTGTAAAGGAACAGGGTTGGGTGCTGAATTTTGAACATCATTGTCTTCATCACTTGCCAGTTCCAATTTCAATTTTGAATTCATCCAGTCATTAAGCAACTCTTGAGCTGCATTGATGAAAGCATTGATGAAAGCAAAATATTACTAGATTTACCAACTAAATTATCAACTAAAGCAAAAGTTTAAAATATGAAAGGAGTTCTATACCCCAATCTAACTCTGCATAGAGGCAAATCAAATTGGCTTTTGCAGTATTAGTCCCAAGAAGGTTTATCCAAGATTTTTATTCTGATTTGTTAAAAATTATTGGTATTATTTATCGTTGATCTTATATTTGAAAGTTCACAAGCCTGGGATGAATTGGGAAGGTATAAATCTCATTAGTTAGAATGATACACAGATATTTAAAAACATCTATACAATATGGTCTCCATTTAAAGCTATCCTCAATTACATATACTCACTTTGAATAACTGAGGCATATTTTGTCAATTTTCTCTATAAAGTTCCATTGATATTACCTTCCACATCATACATAAATCAGGTATTTTCACAATCTCTTGACATAATGGGATGTTCCAACTCCATCTCCCACAAAATTACAAAATTGTAATAGGGAGATGGGAGAAGAGATCCCAGCTTTTCTAGGAATGGGTAATCTATTGTTCATTTTTCTACAATACAGTGAAAAATATAATTATTCTGGATCACCTGGAGTCTACAACAAAATGTTTAAGAAATACCTTCTACATATGCTTCATCATGATCTAGCAGCTGCTCTGTTGTTTCCAAATCCAGCACTGGACCATGAAGTCCATGAGAACAGGATGCCTTTTTTAATGAAAAGGCTTCAGAAACAGCAAATTCGGAGACTTGTTCCATCCGCTGAATTTAAAAAAATGTATAGAAAAGTTATTAAGATTCACTTATTTTGTCTAACATAACAGAAGATATTTTGATTGGCAATAAGGTTGGAAATACATGGTATTTATACTGCTGCAATGGTGGGATTCAATTTTTTTTTTACTGTTAGGGGCCTTGGAGTGGAGCCTTATTAATTACATGGGAGGGTGGGTTATCTGTGACTATGCAATAAACTGACTCTAACTAGCATCTGTCCAGTGTGGGATTCAATTTTTTTACTACCAGTTCTGTGGGCATGGCTTGGTGGGCATGGCAGGGGAAGGATACCGTAAAATCTCCAGTCAGAAGTGGCATTAGCCGGTTCTCCGAACTACTCAAAATTTCTGCTACCGGTTCTCCAGAACTGGTCAGAACCTGCTGAATACCACCTCTGTTCTGCTGGCTTTATTTTTTTATTTTGATTGGTCCTTTTATGTATTGGAGAGTATCTCTTTTATTGACGCATTATTTTGTATTAAAATAATTAGCCACATAGTTTTTTGAACCCGAGAAGCATATTAATACTTAAGATAGCATCCACTAAAATGCTAGAATTTAAGCTATCTGTCCCACTGACAGGTGTGTGTGTGTGTGTGTGTGTGTGTGTGTGTGTGTGTGTGTTCATACACCCGCATATTAGATTTATGTCCCACCTTCTTCCAAGAACTCAGGGCAGTTTATGAGGGAACTTTCTTTCATTTTATCCTTATAAAAGCAACATTGTGAAGTAGATTGGGCTCAAAGAGTCACTGACTCAAAATTTCCATTACTAAGAGGGGGCATGATTTTGTACTGTCCTAATCCAACCCTTAACAATTATGGTTCTATCAGTAGATTTATAGATTTATGCACATTTCTCAACATAATTAAATTTACATGTGTTTATTTTCTTATTCTAATAATAATTTTAATAGAATTTAGCATCTCTGCAATTTACAGTCCAGTATTATTCATAATTATTCAGAAAATGAGCTTCATCTTACCATGGGAACTCAAGATTTCGTCCCACTGAATAAGTTGGGTTTTTTTCCAGATATTTGAGACTGAGCATTACTTCATTTTTCCTTACCTTTATCCAGTGTTCTATACTGTCAGCATCAAACTGTGGCTGGGAATTAAAGAATAAAATATTTTAATTTTCAGTTAAAGATCAAATTAAAGTAAAATTAAGAGATCTTTAAGTTTTAAAACTTAAAAACATACTAACTAGTTTCATTAGTTTACTATATTTATGTAATGTTATTCAATAGGCATAGTCTTTGATTTGCATTAACTCAAGTTTTACAATAAATATTCTCAAAATAAATGAGGCAAAGTATTAGTCATTACTCCAAGCACAGTGGAGGGAGCAATGGAAGTACACATACTTAAAAATGCTGTCTTCTATTCTCTTTCATTGATTAAATGGCTCTAGTGTTATTCATAACTTCTGTAAGAAGGCCCACTTACATAGCAGTGCAAAGCTGGTTTTGATTTCAAAAAGTTACATAGCGTTAGATCTAATTATTTTTTAGATGGGAAGCCAATGAGTCGTTTTAGGGCTGTAGGATAGACTGAGAAGTCAAAAAAGCAACTTAGATGCTGGCTGCACAGAAAACTCATAAAACTGCTTCTGTATTGCTCCAAGAAAACCACAGCAATGTATTCACATTAGTTGAGCTAGACTTGAAGTACATGTTATCTTTTCTGTAATAAGGCACTCCCTGAATGTTATCACAGTGCAACTCTGAATAAGAAAAAGAACCCAGTTTTGCATAGCAAGAATCAGATGATTAAGGAAGCCCCTGTGGGACCAGAAATCTGCTGCTGCTCAGCAACTGCTTACTTCTCATTACATCTATCCTGATAGATACCCATTGGTACTCCATGAATTGGTCCAATTTCAATTGGCCTTCACTGTATCCTGTGGCAACGGGTTCTGTATGCTCTATGTGAGTACAGGTAGTCCTTGACTTACAACGAACGGTCGTTTAGTGACCGTCAGTTCAAAGTTAAACAGTGCTGAAAAAAGTGACATAGGACCGTTTTTCAGCTACGACCTTTGCAGCATCTCCCATGAGGATCATTTGATCAAAATTCAGATGCTTGCCAACTATTTCGTATTTATGACTGTTGCTGTGTCCCACGGTCATGCGATCCCTTTTTTGCAACCTTCCAACAAGCAAAGTCAATGGGGAAACCAGATTGACTTAGCAAGCAGGTTACTAACTTATTAACTGCAGCTATTCACTTAACAAATGTGACACAAAACATCGTAAAATGGGACAAAACTCACTGAACAAATGTCTCACTTAACAAAATGATTCCCCCCCCCTCAATTGTGGTCGTAAGTCGAGGACTACCTGTACAGGCACTTCCTTGCTGCTCGGTTACATGAAATAAAGGCACGCTTTAACATTCTCCAAAAATGTGACCATCGAATAGCCGGCACAGACCGTTTGGAAAGCGATTTCAGCAATGACGGGTCAACGTCACGGGCTTCTTTTCTTTTTACCTTTTGCCGCGATGCTGGCTGATTGAAACGTCGCCAACGATAAAGGTCAGGACGGGATCGCACGGCCGCCATTGAAAAAGCCCAAAGGAGACCCCCTCGATTTCCTGTCCGCTTGTTACCCGCGCAGTTCGGGTTGGGAGGCGAAGCGACAACCGACGTCGAAGTCCTCGCTCGAGCGGAGAGTGGCGTCCCTAAGCTTTGTCATGGCAACATTTCCGCCAAGTAGTGGGCGCTTCTCTCCCTCCTTCCTATCAAACCCTCGCCGTCGACTTTTTATGACGTTCTTATTCTCCATTGGAGAGCCAGTGTTACGGGAAAAAAATCAAAGGCCTTAACGGAAGCGGCGTTTTGCCGCGTGCGGGGATTAATGTGTAAGTGTAATTGCGCGAGGTTCAGTTGCTATTTACGCTCCAGGCCAAAAGCGAGTGCCGGATCGTGGAATTCCGGGGCTTGCTAGTTTCGTCTCCTACTTTTTTTTTTATTATTATTATCTAGTCTGCCCTTAGGACTAGATACCTCCACCCCACCCCAAAACAACCTTTGACGCCTCCAGTTGTATCGTAATGATGGCTTCTACATTCCTCAACGCGCTGATTCTGGAGACGTTGTTGCCGCACGTTTGGAGCTATAGTAGAGATTCTCAGTCATCCAGATCACGGTTGCCCCAAAGGTGCTTTTTTTAAAGGCAACTGGACTTTCTTGTTTTTTCCCCCGCCATGAAAACGTTTCGCTTCGCTTCCAAAAAGTTTATTCAGTTCCGGACAAAATCCAGTTGCCTTTTGAAAAAAGCACTTTTGGAGCACGTTTGGAGGGCATTGGATTGGGTGTTCTCTACATGACAAGCAAAATACGCTAAGAAATAAGTTTGGATACTATTATTAATACTATTGCAGTTTGGAGAACCGCTGATATAGAGGAAAGTATCAAGCCTTTTTTATTTAATGAAAAACATTTTTTTTTCGTTTTATGGAATTAAAACATTTACCATTATGAGGCCTTCACTGTAGTTTAGGTCTTCCAAATCTGGTTTGCAAAAATCTGGAGGACCGCAAGATGTTAATATAAAGAAAGAAGAAAATGTATCCTTGCTGCCCCTTTCTTGTTGATAGACTTTTGCATAAAGCCCAGATTTAGAAACCGTACCACTGTGTTATTCCAGTCCAGTACCAGTGTTATAAATATTTATTATTTCCTAGTCCATATAAGTGGCATGATTTGGTGTATAAATAAGTAAGGTAATCTGATGTCTTCTACATATTTTGAACTCTACTTCATGCAGTCCAGAGTTGAAAAGAAAACTTGTGCATAGTAATTCATTGCTTTTTGAATGCAAGGAAAATAGTAATGCCCTCCATGATACAAAATTTCATGGAAAATCAGTATAAGATAACTAATACATCATACTATTACACTCAGAGAAAACTGGTTCAAGATGACTAAGGGCTTTGCTTATTGATCATTTGCTGTTGTCTCAGGTGTGTTGATGAAGATGAAATTAAATCTCTGCAAAATAGTTGATGGCTGTCGCCTTGGGACACTGACAAATCTCGGCAAGAAAGGGATTCAGTCGATGGAAATTCCAGGATGTCTACTTTATACCAAAATGGGATCAGCACCACACCTTACCCACGATACACTATATAATATTCAAGGTGTTCCTGTGGTTGCCCAGATTCCACTTACAACATTGTGAGTGCAATTTCAGCCTTTGTAGGTAAAATAGATGAGGCAAATACAGACTTTGATTTTCCTTTTGAGATATTTGTATGTTATATATGTATGTATGTATACGTATGCAAGTATAACTTTTGCATTCCTGACAGAATTGCATTCCTGATTGAATTCCAGCAGAATTCAATTATTGCTGGCCTATTTGTGCAAATATAGACCCCTTTAATTTCAACAGGATTTATTCTCAAAATTATTCTTTGCTCTAGAATTGAAGCCTGAGATTCCAATCTTGGTTTTATATGATAGCATTAAACTGTATAATCTTTTAGTTTGTATATCAACAATAGTCATTTAAGAAGAACTTTGAGAAGTACTTTGCATTATGATTCCACAACTATATTAGATACAAGATATTTGTTGGATAGTGAGAAACTACAGGGGATCTCTTTGTGGTTAGAATCACTCTGGTGTCAATGGCTAAACAGCTATCACTTAGGACCAAAGTGAATTCATACGTTGCGATGTTTTTCAAACTGCATTATTTACATATTGTGCATTAATGTCTAACATGCATGAATTATGTAGTTGTCTTAACATGTTTTCCTGTTTGGATGCAGAGCAGATCTTCAAGAGGTCTTGCAGGAATATAAAGAAGGAATTGGAAAATTCATAGGTAAAAGTATAGGGGTGGCTTTTCATCATTAATGAAGCATGATAAAGTAGGTGTTATTGCATCTAACATTATTTGGAATAGAGTGTTATCCATATACTGCTAAAACACTTATGTCTCTAACCTTTAACTGGGCAAAGTGGTGCATCATAGGGCAAACATTTGTAAATAGAGTACCTCAAATGAGATAACTTACAGAATGCCAGGACCCAATACTCCCAAAGGAATGAAATTTGGGGACTTTGTGACTTGTTCAGTGCTGCTGGGCTGCTGTATGATCCTGATTTTCAGCAATTCTGTGATAATTTCCAGACCATTTGCATAATTTTTTGCTCCCTCTCCCAACTAGCAGCCACTTATCTGCCTCCTAGTGAGGTATGGAAGGAGGGAAGGACAGAGGAGAAAGCAAATAAAAAATATCTGTGAACAGAAATTAATTATCCTCCTTATTCTCCAGCCCCTATGATGGGAACAATAACAAATATGGAGTCCTTGGTGCTGTCTCAGCTTGATTGTTCAGAGAGCATCACTAACTCCATAATTCAACTCTCTTTTATTGGCAAAAGTAAATTTGCATTTTAACTAACCATAAGAGAGTTAGTAAAAAATTCTGATGTTTTCTCGCAATGCTGCTAGCTGATATTGCAAAAGACACGTATGTTTTTTGTCTAAGTGAAATCAATAAATGTGATACTCCCATTTGAATCCCTGGAAATAGAATTAATTCTCTTTATGGGCAACCCCCATAAGGCATGCTTTGGCAACCTTTGTTTACTAATTTCTGATCAGTTATGATCCAGGAGATATGCCTTAGAATTTAAATAAGGATGGGCTGGATAAAGACATCCATTTGAAATTACAGGATAGAGATAGCATTGGTGATCGACTATTGCTTGTTGCAATGTATGTTGATTAAATGACTTAAGATTTATTTGGAACAAGTTTTACATATTTTTGACTAATCTGTATGATGGGTCAAACCTAGAGGCCTCTCCATTTTTGTTACTAAATTTTAAATCCTTAAATCTTATACCAGTTATATCATACAACAGTCTAGCCATTCTGTGCATCTGATGAAGTGAGCTTTAGCCATGGGTGGGACTCAGGCCGGTATGGGCAAACTGGTAGTTCCGGTGATAGTTTGGCTCCGCCCACCCGCTCCTGCTCTATTGGGTGCTATATTTCCTTTGCTTGAAACCCAGCTGATTGGTGTGGCAGCCTGGATTGCCACTCCTCAGCTGTTTTTACTTACTTAGGCTGCAGTAAAAGGTAAGTTTTCCTTCTATTTTCAAAAGCACCATGTGTGCGCATGCGTGTGTGAAGCACATGTCCACCAAACCAGTTGTTACAACGGCTGAATCCCACCACTGACTTTAGCTCCTGAAAACATATGCTCTTTAAAAAAAAAAAAAAGTTGGATAAATTGCTATCAGATCCTTTCTGATTTTTTTGTTACCAGAAATTAACGTAGATCTTTTTATTAGATTGTCCTGAAAAGTAATTAGAAATGTTTAGTGGAATGTTATAGTTTTGGGAGACTTGCTATTAATAGTTTATTTAAGTGATACAGCATTATGATAGAAAAATTCATTGTCAATATATTAAAGATAATATTTTATTTTGGACTTAGGTATGCCAGAATCAGTATCATATTGTTCCCTTCAAGACCCTGCTGTTTGTTCCCCTCATGGCTACAATAGCACGAAGGTATAGTAAATTTGACTATTTTCGTGGCTTTTCAGTCTTGGCTCTTCACTCCCCTCCCTACTGTTTTTAAAGGAATAATCATAATAGTGGCAGCAACTGAAGATTCCTGCATAGCCATTTAGAAAACAAGTAGGAGAATGGAATCAATTCATAGTGGAAAAATCAACTAATTTTTTTCTTTCCTTATTTCTGACAGGCTGTATCTATATGGAACAATAGAGGACGGAAAGAACTCACAGCATCAAAGTTCATGGACATCCAAAAGGCTATCCAGCCAGACTGGTTCCAGTGTTTATCAGATGGAGACACTATTTCAGGAGATATCTCCAGAAAGAAAGCCAAGAAATCTGTAGATCGATCATTATGCTTTTTGGATGAATGTCTACAGCTGCAAGAAAATTGTCCAGTAAGTGTTAAATCTTTTTGAGGTGTATATACACATTGAATTTACTTGCTAATTTTTAGATATTCTGGTAAATGCAGCTTGCAGAATTCCTGCATTGTTTCTGAAAACTATATTTATGTAATCTATAGAACATGTCTTTTTCTTTCTGTTTTCTTTTTGTTGTATAGAACTAAGTATAATGGTTCTTCCCCTTTGTATTATTAATTTTAATTTTATATTGATAAACCCAATTATTTTTGGGCCGTGTTGTTGTGCACTCTTCCACAAACCCCTTTGCAAAAATACCACTCTTAATTGGAGCCATTCCAGTTTCTCTGGTCAGAATCTGTGAATATCATTTTATTTAAAATGTTTATATCTTGTCTTTATAAAGCCTTGAAGCTTGGGAATATTTAAAATAACAATACCAAATACATTTTGTATAGAATCTATGTGGATATATAATTGGTGGAAAGGCCAATTATAATGAAAAAGTAAGTTTAATGTGTGCATTGAGAAATTAGTAACATATACTGTCTTTTCTTTCCAAAACAAAAATTGCTCTTCTATTAATCATTTGGCCTTTTAAAAGAAAAAAAATAGTTTAAACTTCAGTTAGAGCAAATAATGCCCAGCTTGGTCTTTTATAGAGTGTCTTTTATAAAGAAGTGGCAATCTAGACCTAAATGGGGAATTATATGTCACTA